TTTTTTTGGTTTTTCGAGACAGGGTTTCTCTGTGTAGCTTTGTGCCTTTCCTGGATCTCGCTCTGTAGACCAGGCTGGCCTCAAACTTACAGAGATCCACCTGGCTCTGCCTCCCGAGTGCTGGGATTAAAGACATATGCCACCATTGCCCGGCTAAAGATTTATTTGTTATTTATTTATTTATTTATTTATTTATTTATTTATTTATTTATTTATTTATTTATTATGTACATAGTGTTCTGCCTGCATGCAAGATAGAAGAGGGCACCAGATCCCATTACAGATGGTTGTGAGTTACCATGTGGTTGTTGGGAATTGAACTCAGGACCTCTGGAAGAGCAACCAGTGCTCTTAACCTCTGAGCCATCTCTCCAGCCTGTATTTTTAATTTTTTAAAAGAAAATTCCACATGGACAACATCAATTCACTTTCCTTCCAGCACTGGATGTAGGGTTTTCCCCTCACATCCTTGCCAGCATTTTTTTTTCTTGATGGTACCCACTGCAGCTGAGGTGAAATAGAGTTCAGTGTGGCTTTGCTTATTTCCTCCCCCCCAGCACCCACCCAACTTTATGTTTGTTCATTCTCTTTAAACATATACACATGTGCATGCACACACACACACACACACACACACACACACACACACACACACACACTCACAAACCCAAAAATCATGGAGTCCAGTTTGTGTTAGTCAAATTCTGGGCTTGGGGCTTGTACTAGAGTACGTTGGATGTATCCACTGTCACTTTATTGAAGAAAACTGATTTCCTTCTAATAGAAACTACCAACTGTGAACAGCCTCTTGGCCGAGGGTGGGGCTCTGTGTCTTCTCTCCTCTGTGCCGGGATTCTTGTCTTAGTTGAGTTTGTGCAGGTCTTGTGTGTGCTGTCATAGTCTCAGTGAATTCATACTTGCCTTGTCATGTCTGGAAAAAACTGCTTGATTAGAGTCATCAGTCACCTTTGGCTCCCACAATCTTTTCACTCTCCACGTAGTTCCCTGAACCTTGAAGGGAGAGCAGTGTTAAAGACATTGAGAGATAAATACTCCAAAGTCTCTCACTCTCTGAATATTGTCCTGTTGGGGGTCTTTGTAGTAATCACCACCTAGTGCAAGAAGAAGCTTCCATGATGAAATCGAGCAATGTACTGATCTATGAGCACATTAGAATGTCATTTTATTGCTATGCCCTTTTATTAGAGTATTAGTAGTAAGTTTTGCCATAGGCCTATAACCTGTCTAGTCACAGTTTCTTGGCCTTATTACCAGGGTAAAGGATGGATTTTTATCTTGTCAGGGAGCTTTATGTTCAATTAAAAAGTGATGTGTTACTCTCCTAATGTTTATGCTGCTGCTGCACCAGTGGACATGTCTTGCGGGCAGGTCATTATTATAGATTGCAAGTTTCATAGCTGGGTGGGACTGACGATTGCCCTTCTTCTTTGGTAGCATTCAGAGCATCTTATAGCACTGTGAATGCTATCCAGTAGAGGTGGGCCTTCCAGTTGAGTAGTAGCCAGATCCAGCCATGCCATTCTTGAACATATACACAAAGGACTTTACGTCTTACTGCAGAGATACTTCCTCATCCATGTTCACGGCTTCTGTATTCATAATAGTCAGAAATTGAGCATAGGCAAGATGTCCATCAACTGGTGAGTAGATAATGAAAATGTGGTACGTTTACATAATGGAATATTATCCAGTTACTAAGAAAAACAAAATTATTAAGTTTTCATGTAAATAAATTTAGCTAGAAGGAATTACCTTGAATGAGGTAACCCAGACCAAGAAAGACAAACACTGCATATTTCCTCTCATATGTGGTTGTTAGCTTTTGAGGTTTAGAGATGTGAGTTCCATTTGGTACCAAGGTTAGATAGCTAGTAAGCAACTTGAGGGGGGAGTTTCCAATGAAGTGGAAATAAAGTACAGTGTAATACAGGTATAAGAAGGGAATTAGAGGAGGAAGTTAAAAGGAATAAAGGGTGGGAAGGAAAGGTAGAGGAGGAAATATGGGAGGGACAACTAACAGTAAAGGCCTTTTGAAAACCCACTAATGTAGAATATTCCTAATAGATACATAAATTACAACAGTTTAAATAGAATCATCATATACTGGGGGAGCAGTATCCCAACTAGATATAATAAGATACCAAATAAATCTCCAGTGCAAAGAGTGCATTACATCTTTTGAGTTGTTGGCCAAAGGTATCCCAGAGACTACCCTCAACACTGCAGCTCTTGGTAGTGCAAGGAATGGGTTATCTTTTGAGTTGTTGGCCAAAGGTGTCCCAGAGACCACCCCCAACACTACAGTTCTCAGCATTGATGCTGCTGGCTATTCTCCACAACTTTATGGAAAGAGGCTATTGCTGAAGACACTACAAACTTGCCAGATCACATGGAGAAATCTAGTTTGTCTCTTTAATTCATTGATTTTAATGTTGTTGTGTGGAAGATTGTTAGTTGTCAATTCTTGCTTTTGTTTCTGGAACTCCTGGAGTCCTATTAAAAACTTCACCGCACCTTTTCACTACTGGTGGGAGTGGAAACAAGTATAGCCACTGTGGAAATCAGCATAGAGGTTTCTCAAGAGGCTGGAAATAGGTCTATACGATCCACCATACTTCCAGAGGACTCTACTTCAGGGATACTTCCTCATCCAATTTCATTGCTACTCTCTTCACAATAGCCAGGAAATGGAAACAAACGA